GTCTAATAAATTAGTCGCAAAAATTCCAATTCCAGCTGTCAAGGAATCACCCATCGCAGCAATAACGTCTATATCTCCTGGTCTTAAACGATGAACTGAATCAGGGACAATAGGAGATTTACCATCTACAGAAATTAAATTTACAGTATTATACAGTATTAAAATATAATAATGATAATATTTATAGAGAATGTAGTATTTTTAATTGTATTATTATATTAGTAGATAGTATTTAAGAATATGATTTTATATATTTAGAATATTATATTTAAAAAATTAATATTAAATTTAATATTAATATTAAATTCCTATATTACTATTAATTAATATATATAAATTATATATATATAAATTCCACCATATTCCTATTTATTAATATTAAAAGAATATTAAATTTTTATATAATATATATTATTAATAATATTAATATATATTATAGTATTAATAATATTAATAATAATGAAAATTTGTTCAACTACCTGTCACGTTACAAGGAAATGGAATATCTTCCGGAATTTCTTGTTGAAGTTTTCCTTCATGCTGTGCCCGAACTCTTTCATTTTTAGCTTTTAAAGAAAAAGAAATTATTTTCAAAGTAATTATCGAAATGTTTTTTAATGAAATGAAAAGTAAAAACTAAACTCAATTAAAAAATATAAATAAAATACTATAATAATTTAAAATAATCAAATATTATTATTAATAAAATTTATCCATTTTAATAATCATCTCATTCTTATAAAATGTTATACTCTCAAGACGTTCCAAATATCAACATAATTTTTTATTATTTATATTTATATTTATAATTTTTATTATTTATAAAATAATATATCAAAGATTATCATTTTTCTTTCTTCTTTACATTATTTACACTATTTACGCTAATATTATTTTTACACTATTCTTTACACTATTTATTATTTTTATAACATTTGTTTTTTTTCACTTTTTTCGATTTAAATTAACATGTTATTTTTTTAATAAAAATAAAATACATTATAACATAAAATAATTGATTATTTGAATATTTACCGAAATTTCGAAGAATCCAATTACGAAATATTCGATATGTTTTTAAATTCATCGGTGAATCTAAATTTGTTTTTTGAGATGCAGATAGCATGAATAACAATTGTAATAACAAAAATAACCACAATTTGTCCATCATTAGTTAAGGCGAGCAACTAAATTAATAATAAAACGTCTTTATAATAGTTAATATTGTCTGTTCACTTATATTTCTACTAGAGTAAAGAATTGTAAATGTTAAGTATACTCAGAAGAAGTTTTCTTTCTTCTGAGATAATATGATTGCCGCGTAATCGTATATATTATTATATATAATATGATCGTATTTTCATAATTAGTTAATGATCGGTATCATTAAAGTAGAAATTTATTAAAGAGCAAAAACTAAGAACAAAAACAATTTTATTACGCTATTTATTACGTTAACAATTACGTTACATTGAGTAGCAAAAAATATATTTGCAATAGCATGAAAATAAACTAATAAATCTTTTCAAATTAAGAATCATAAATATGTATGAAATAAATGAATCGATGATTCATCTGTATCTTGTTCTGTGATTATATATATATGATTTGCACAATCATGCAACAAAGTAATGCAACAAAAATTTGAAAAATTGAAGACAAAAGAAAAAGATAAAATTCAAATATCAAAAAGTTTTTCGGATATATTTATTATTATAATTTCTACTAATTTCCATTACTAATTTTCAAAATATTAATAAAAATATTTGGATATTTGGATATTATATTGAATATGTACATATACCAATTATCAATTATTTATACAAACATATCATAGTTGATCAAAATATATATATTGAATTAATACAATCATACCATTGCATTCTGCTATAATAAATGTTTAAGCAATTTTTCGAATTTGTGCAATGCGAAAATTATAATAACGGAAATTACAAATTATCGCCTCACTTATTCTTTTTTCATATAGATTCTTCAATGATTTTCCCACGAATATCACGAATATCTCAAATATCCTGCATATCATATAATATATTATATATTATAAATATAATAAAAAAGCAATGTAAACATCAATTGTTTATTCAACATCAGTATTAATATTTGTTATCGTAGTAATATCTGATATAATAATAATTATTATTATATATATGTGAGATTTTTCTTTATGTTAAAATAATTTTTTACCCGTAATTTAGTTACGTAAAAACTTAGCATTGCAATTCCTGTTATTGATTAAGATAATCAAATGACGTTTAATTTCATTAAAATGATTCAAGTAGTTTAAAATATTAAAAATTATTTTTTGTTGATAATATACTCTATACTTTGTTTTTATTAATTTTCTTTAATATTGCATTCTTCTTTTATCATTTTGAATGCTCTAATAAATATATTTATTAATTCAATTATTTATATTTATATTTAATAATTTAAATTTGCAAAACATTTAATTATATATCAATTAAAAATGCCTTTTCCTTCAGTTTATATTAATCAAACAATAAATTTGTAGATTTTTTATTTTTGATATATAATAAATCAACAATTTTTTTTATTTTAGTTGTTTATTATTTTGTTATTTATTATAATAATATTTTAAAAATATATTATAAAATCAATTTTATATTAGATTATATAAAAGTATTTACATTGAATGTATAAAAATTTATTGATTTATTATGTACCAAAAATGAAATTGTACTTAATATAAATATTTCAATATTATTTTCATTTTGGACAAGTGCATAGAATTTAAAAAACGAAAAAAGAATTCAGTGAAAACTGAATTTCGAAATTTAAATACTGATTTCTTTGATGATTTCTAAATTCTAAATTTAAATGACGATGTATTTTAGTAATATATGTTTTGCATATGTTTTCTAATTATCCTTGACAAAAAAATATAAAAATATAAAAAAAGATAAAAGAAAACGATCGCTATTTCCAAGGATAGAATCTCACGATCATATTAAAATATTGTCGAGTTCTTTATTGTTTCTTTGATAATTTATCACAAACCATTTGACATGCAAATGTGATTTTTAAAATTATCATCACAAAATAATCATTACTATTGTATTTTTTTCAAACAACACAAGAAAACTGTACATGATTGTAAATTATTGTTAATAAATTAAAAAATTAAATTATTAATTAAAAAATTAAAAAACCGAAAACTATTGAACGTATTGAAATTATTGAGATAAAATTCATGTCAAATTATGGCTATTTCATAAAGATCAATAATATTGATATTAATATTGCATGGAACAACAAAGAAATAATATAATAATATATAATAATAATAGTATAATAAATATATTAAACAATTTATTAACATCAATAAAAAAAATTTAGAATATTAATTCCATTGCCCAGAAATTTTTTATTAGAAACAACTTAAAATGACAGCGTTCACTCATTAATCGAAAAAAATATAAAACAAAATGA